TCTTTTTTGTTAGGTCTCATGTTATGAGCCTACATCTTCTAATCTTGTTTTGATGATTACAAACAATTCCTAATGTTGTTTGTCTAGTGTTTGTGTTTCTTATTCGTTTGTTTCACCATTTTGATGTTGCCGAATGGGGAGAAACAAGTGGATTGTGAGTATATTTTAAGAGTATTGTGCTTTATTGCTTATCTTACATTCTCTTTGTGTAGATTGTTCGTCATCATAAATAGGAGGAGATTGTTTGGTCTCATGTTATGAACCTACATCTTCTAATCTTGTTTTGATGATTACAAACAATTCCTAATGTTGTTTGTCTAGTGTTTGTGTTTCTTATTAGGTATTCTAGACAAACAACAAAGTTGGAGGATGGATGGAATTGCGTATTCAATGTCATATCCAACGTAGGTTGGCGGAATAGTGGAGTGAAGCATTGCAATTCAAGTTAAGGATCCAAGTTCAAGCTTCATCCGCAAGTTTACCAAATCGAGCTCATTGAAGACCTTCATCAAGCTTGGGTAATTTAGTTTAGGTTTTATATTATACGTGTTAGTACTTTAAGCTCAATTATATACACACATACACATTGTGGTTTTTGTATATATATAGTTATATATATACATATATGTTTTGGTTTAGCTATATAGATATGAAACAATATATATCTTCATATATACTTTTATATGTTTTATATTCTTTGGAAAAATATTGTGTTTTTGGTTTATATGGTTTATAGACTTAACAACTATAGTTTGTACTTTTTATCAAGTCTATAAATTAAATCATTTTACAAAGTTTCAAAACTTGGCATATGTCAAAACATCAAAATTCAAGTATCTCATGTTTTCATGTTTTGGACATATTTGTAAAATGATGATATTAATGATATTTTATAAATGGGAGGTGATTTTTGAAAACCAATTTTTGTAGCATGTTTATTATCATGTCTACAATCATTTTCCAAAGTTTTATATTTTTCTGATTTTATTTGCTATTTTAAAGACAGTTTGAAATTTTGATTTTTGGTTCAAAACAGGCTGATAACATGTTATCAGTCGACTGATTAGTCGACTAATGACATCGAGTCGACTGAAGAAATCACCTGGAATGTCAAAAAGTTTCAGTTTTGTTTTGGTCGTCTGACCAGTTGACTGATGAGATCATCAGTCGACTGATAAGGTCGCCAGTCGACTGATGGAAGCCGTCAGTCGACTGATGGAAGCCGTCAGTCGACTGATGCTGTAACGGCTAAATTTTTTTCCTTTTACAGATTTAGGTTTTCGGTCTTTTTGTCTTATTTTCTCTTGGCTTTGGGGTTCCTATAAATACCCTCACATATCCTCAGTTTTATTAACTCAAGAGAATTGTTTAAAACAAGTTTAAGGGTGTTTAATTCTTGTTTAAGTTTGTTTAAGAGTTTGTTTTTGAAGAAACTTTCACAAGAGCTTGGGGAGATCATCTATTGGTGTTTTAGCATTTAACTCTTCTCATTCTCTCTCTTGTCATCTAGAAAAGTTTTCTAAACTCAATCTAGCTACTTTACTACTAAATAATGAGGCATCCTTGACGAAAAATTCCGTCTAGGATACCTAGAATTCCATCTAGAATGCGTATCGTAGACGGAATTCCATCTAGAATACGCGTCTAGTATGTTTTCGTCTAGGATGTAGTATGCTAGACAGAAATTCCGTCTAAAATACAATCTAGACGGATTATTCTAGACGAAAATCAAAACCGTCTAGAATACATCCTAGATGGATTATTCTAGATGGGATTTCCGTCTAGAATACATCATCCTAAACGGAAAAAACTTTCGTCTAGGATGAGTATCCTAGACGAAAATTTCCGTCTTGGATGTTTTTTAATTTTTTTTAATTTTTTTCAAAAAAACGAGTATCCTAGACGGAATTTTAGCATCCTAAACGTAATTTCCGTCCAGGATGCTATGCTACAGTAGGTTTTTTTATTTTTGCAAAATCTACTTTTAGTGCATGTACACAATATTGAACAACAAAAAATTATATTCATATCCAACACAATCTAATTATATTCCAATATCAAATCCCATTATATTCAAATAATACATTCACCAAAATAGTAGAGAGATACATAAATTGTTTATCAAATCCCATTATATTCAAATAATACATTCACCAAAATAGTAGAGAGATACATAAATTGTTTACAAACATTTATATAAATTATTTACAATGGCTATGACACTGGAGAAGCTTCTTCAACTCCTTCCCTATACATTTACTCAAGCCCTCTTCTTCTCTTTCTTCACCTTCTTCCTCATCATCTTGAGTGTAACATAAGGACAAGTAATGCATCAATATATGTATAAACTGATCAATATATGTACAAACTGATCCATAAGGACACAATCAATGCATATATATAAAAGAGATACCAATAGTAGAGGACTAATTAGAACAAGCAAAAGCCACTAAACCAAGTACTATAGGTATATAAATTATTTCCAGGAAGTAGCCAATTTTTAGATATGTGTGGGTTCACTAGATAGAAGCATATACTACTCCTCTTTGCTATCATTTTTTTTGAGGTAACTCTAGCTACTGTTTCCAAAACTGCCTAGAAAAATATATAAACAAAAAGAAAAAGAAGAATCAATAAGATAAAGAAATCATGGTGCTCATGTATATGTGTACGTAAATAAAGAAATCAATTAGTTAATATGGTAGAAAGAAAAAACTTTGGACTCTATTTGTTGTTGGGAGAATGATGGCATCTCAAAACTATGTCAATGGTTTGTACATAAATAGAGGAATTAACTCGAGATCAATATATTCCAACTAAAGGCAACATTGAATTATTCATGTATTAAATGTCACTTAGAATTTATATACAATATACTCAAGTAAAATCAGATGTGTCACATGGCAGATCCTTATTAAAACATTTCCCTCCAAAATCTTTTCTCTTTTTATCTCCCACATTTAGCTTCTTTAAGAAGATTCAATTCAATAAACCTTAATTTTTTTTATATTTTTGTATTAATAGCCCAACGAAAATCTTTCTAACCTAAGATAACATTTCTTTGAAAATTAAGATGATCAAAACGTATTAATAGCCCAACGAAAATCTTTCTAACCTAAGATAACATTTCTTTGAAAATTAAGATGATCAAAACCATATAATTGATTTTACAATCACTATTTCGCCTAAGATAACATTTCTTTGAAAATTAAGATGATCAAAACCATATAATTGATTTTACAATCACTATTTCGTTATTATTTAGTTATAGTTTAATAATTGAAAAAAAAGTAATTATGACAAGTTGATTTTTTAGTTATCAATTATGTAATGAATATTTTGAAATTTATAGTTCGATATGAATGAAAAATTAAAATCAATTCAATTTGGATATGAATAAATTTATAATTTATGAACATTTAGACTTTTGATAAGAGATAAATAATTATGATATGATATATTTGTTAAAAAAGCATAAACAATTATCAAGGGTCCTTTTAGCCCACTAAAAAGTGCTTAACTTTTCTAACATAAGAAAAACACTTAGTTTAATCAGTTTACAAAGTACTCTTTGGTAAAATAATCTAAAAACTTTTTTTTATATATAAATATAATTCTCCCTCTCCATATCGAACTGAAAAGAAAATACTTCTTACTTATGCAAAAATTTTAATGGCATAACTCCTTTTTTTAAAGATCATCACGTATTTTATTCAGTGTGACATTAAACATTATCATAATGTATATGTTCTAGAATAAGAAGAGGGACAATTTTTTCACTTTTTTCTATCTTCCATATCAGATAACACAAATACAGATATTATAAATCACAGACTTGCTTATCTGAACCAGAAACTAGCCCCATGACTATAAATAACAAAGAGAAATTGCCATCTTTAAACTAGAACAAGGAACATCGTAAATTACCATCTTTAAACTAGAAACAACTACAAATAGCAAAGAGAAATTGTCCACAACTTTTAAGGATAACAAATTGTGAACAATTGAAGTATAGTTTGTAAATACTTACTAATTGATTTACATGCTGCCCACCCAAGAACAAAGCAGCAGAAACCGGATTCCTGCAAAAAGTAAACTAAAGCCAGCAAACAACGCAATATTTACCAGACTAGAATGATGTATGAAGCCAAAACAGCAATTAGCGCAGAATATAAAACCACAATTCTATTAGAAAACATGCATGTTTTCTGATAGAATTGTTGTTTTATGTATGCATGTCACCTGATAATACAACAGGAAATAGTGACAAGCGAGCTTACAAAAAAGATTGACCTGAATCAGATGAATGAAATAAATTGAACGCCAAACAAGAAATAGCATCAATAATTAACCAGTAATAACAGAAAAAAAACATGCAGCCTCCCTAAAAAATAGCGTAGAATTCCAGTTTTCGGACATTATTGTTGTATGCTAATACAAGTCCATGCTCTTTTTGTCTCAATTTGCTAGAAGATCCCCAGTTCTTTGATCCTTAAAATAAATAGCAGAAGAAGAGCACAGTTATGGTAGGAGGCAATAACCAATTAACCTGGCACATCGGTAGCACTTTGCATTTACAAATCTCCTCAGAAGTTATTGATATTTCCTGTTGTATTTTGTCATTTATATAAGCAAAAGTTTCATATAAGATATAAAATTAGCAAAGGGGAAATAAACCTAAGCAAAGGATAAGGCCATTACCTTGACAAGTATACAAGAGAATATTTACTAATTCACTAGGGAAATCCTTAATTAATCACCCCTAGTAAACAGAATCAAGAGGGAAGCACAATAAAATTAACAGATAACTAAACCAAATTAGTAATGTCTAAGAAACTACCACCAACAGCTCTATATTCACCAAAACACGGTTATTATCACCAATCAGGTGAATCTCAGCGATTTATTACCAAATCTCGCCCTAAACAAATCAATCTCGAAGTGAAAATAAATAAATAAATAAAACAATTAGATTGAGAAATCGAACCAAGTTCCTCTTCTCAGGGAAGTACTCGGGCTCCTTGGGAGCTTATTGAGGTTTCTTGCGCATCAACAGTTTCAATAAAAGGCTCAAAACTAACCAATCTTCCTCTTCTTTGCAAACCATTATTACCCACTTGAAGCAATAGGTGAACAAGAGCTATTGCCTTTAAAAATGCATAAACATATCGAACCTCCTCAGACGTAGGGTTTCTAAATCTCAATTCTCCACCAGAACTGAATCGAGCAACATCAACAATCGGGTATTGATCTACGGCAGAGGATTCCAACGATAGAGAGTGAATCATTCTCTTATTTGAAGGAAAGATAAGAGATTGTGGTGTGAATACTACTCTTAGTATCTCTACATTGGGTACTCTATTGGTTTCTCTTAATCCAGTTGTCTTCTGAGCATCAAGTTCAGACTTGAACATATGTATACCAAGATCACCGCCTTCTCCACCGACGAAATGAGCTATGGGGTATAATTGTTTCTTCAATGACCAGTCGGAGTCTTTACCTATTCTAATGGCGAAGAGATGAGATGGCCAGAGTCTTTTCCATGGATCAGTTCGGTAGAAGGCGGCAGAGGCACTGAAGACGGATCTGATGAAGGCCGGGGAAATGCCTTCGATGTTGAGAAGGCAAGTCCCTGAGCTTGGGCCGAGCCCTGGTCCAGATCCAAACTGGTCTTGGAATCTTGTAAAGAGATTCTTGAGGTGAATATCCATGAGAATGGCACTAAAAATCAGTTGAAATACTACAAGATTCAAAAGTTATAATGAGTGTAGAATCAATATTTTACAAAGAAGAACTCAGTTTCTTAGCTAGACCCCGGAAGTATAATATAAATAACTGCAATTCCAATGTAGATTACAGAAAACATAGAGTTAAAAGATTGAATTTTTCATTTCAAACAACTGAATCCCTAAAGATCCTCAATTAAAAATCTCTATAAAGTGAATTCGAAATGCTAAGAAAAACCTAAATTTCTCTGAACAATGAAAGCACCCAATTCAAGGGGAGTTCCATTTCTAGTTGGCGTAATCAAAATCGCTAGACATGCCCAAAAGATAGGATTTTTATGCTTCAGGGAGTGAATTGAGATTGCTCAACAACATTATGAACATAAAAAATCAGAAATCTAATGAGAATGAGAAAAACCCAAATCGAAATGAGGGTGTGAGAGTACTCACTAGTTAGCTAGAATCAACAAATCTGCTGATGTGCACAAGATGAAAGCCTCCGAGATGTCGGCTCTGGACTCAGGGGAAGCCGGGGGTTGTTGGAGGGCTGATTGGGCGGCGGAGGGCTGTCGGGGAGGCGGATGGTGACTGCGGTGATGAAAGGGGGTAGGTGGAGCAGCATTGCTGCTGGTCGAAGGGGTTGAGCGGGGTGGGAGGAGCGGCGGTGAGAAGAGGAGAGGCGGCTGGTCAGGTGTTGGAGGGTGAGCGAGGCGATGGTGGTGCTGGTCATGGAAGAGGAGCGGTGGAGGAGCTGGTGGCGGATGGTGAAGGTGATGAGGAGGAAGCGGATGAAGGGGCTGAGGATATGGGGATTTTTGGGTGAAGGGAGGAGAGAGAGAACGAAGATCGGTGTTTATTTTGGGTTGGGGGAGCGGGGGATTTTCGATTTGGGAGGAAAATTTTTGTTTTTATTTTTTTTATATGAGCTAAAACATCCTAGACGAAAATTTCCGTCTAGGATACATCCTAGATGGAAATTTTCATCTAGGATACCTGTTTATATTAAAAAATAAATTAACCGTCTAGAATAGCATCCTAGACGGAAATTTCTGTCTAGGATGTATTATACTAGACGGAATATTCTAGACGGAAATTTTTCGTCTAGTTTAATAACAAACTAGATGGAAAATTTTCCGTCTAGAATATTCCGTCTAGGATAAACGATTTTCTACTAGTGTTTATATGTTTGATTTTTATTTCCATAAGCTAGAATCTATATTGAGTTTAGTTTGATTTTGTTTTATTAAATCTCATTGTTACACACACCCACTTGAGCTTATAGTATTTCATACATAGTATAATTGGGGTTGTGAGAGATTGTAACTTTGAGTTGTGCTTAATTGAGTTCTCACCTTGTTTAGAGAACAATCATTTGTTGAGTGCCTAAATTGTGAGGTTCACCTTGTAATACACTAGTACACCAAGAGGAGTGTGTGGTGAGAGACGGGATCGTCCCAAGAGGAGTGGGGAAGGTGATAATGCCTAGAGAGAGGTTGTAATTCCTAACACTTGAGGGAGACACGGGCTAGAGACCAACACTTGAGGTGGTAGTTAGTGTGTTTACATTGTGAGTGATTATAAAGTTTTTGCTGAGCTAGAAAACCGAATTATGAGGTGTAATATGTTATTCGGGTGAGCGTTGAAAACCCGATTGCGTAGTGGATTTCTCTCTGGGAGTGGGGAGCGAAGAAGTAGGACGGAAGGTCCGATATCCGTGATCATTTGATTGTGTTTGAGCTTGCATTGGTGTTCACTTATACTTGTGCTCATTGCATATATCGCCTATTGCATCTTGTCTATTTCATCCACTATATTGTTTGACCTTGCTTAGTTTACTTATCTTTGCATATATATATTGTTACTTATCATATTTGCTAGGATATTTGTTAATTGGTTTTAAATTAGCATAAATCGGATTAGATTAGCATAAACCCTATTCACCCCCCTCTAGGGTTCTTTTCTAGTCGCATTAGAGTACTTTCAATTGGTATCAGAGTTTGATGCTCTTTGATTTAAGGTCTATTCGCCTTGAGTTAAAGATCTAAGTTATCTTTTTGTGCTAATCTAATTTTAAGATTTATTGTTGTCTTGCTTGCACATATTCACATATATATCATGAATATGGATGCATTTCGTTTAGGCTATGATCCAAATATTGCTCCAAGATATAGAAATTTCCCTTATGCTCAATGATGCTCTAGATTTAAAATATTCGTTAAATCTAGAAATATCGACTTATGGGAAGTTATTGATTATGCTTATATTGTGCCCACATTGGAGAAATCCAAGTGGAGTAATTATGATAAGAAAATATTTACAATGAACAAGTTAGTGTTAGAATTCTTGCATAATGCTTTTGAACAATGTATTTCTAACAAACTTGCTCATTTTGATAGTGCTTACATGATTTGGAAATTTTTTGAAGCACATCAAGGAGATTTGGAGGAGATTCGACGAGTTGTGGCGGAATTGACTTCAAGTGATAGAGGAGCATCATGCACATGGCCATTAGGGGATAACCCTAGTGTGGTAAGCGATTCAGAATCCGATGATGATCTATCTATTAATGAACTCGCTTGTGCATTTGAGAGATTAACACATGCCTATACAAAATTGCAAAATAATTTTATTGATATATAAAGCAAGCATGTTAGTTTATAATCTGATCATGAAAAGCTAGTATCTAAGTTTGATATCATTGTTAAAGAAAATGAAAATCTTAAAGAAAACAATGATATGCTAAATTTGGAAAATAAAAAATTAACCTCATCCATCACTAGCATATCTCATGCATGCTAAGATTGATACCATGCTAGAGGTAGAAACAATTAGAAATGAATTTAATTCATTTAAGAATGATCATGCTCTTTCTACTTCTAGTGTTAATACATATGTGCCTAATAATGATGAGTTGAATCTTGTTAAGAACCACATATCTTGTTTAGATTCAACCTTAAAAACATGCATTGTTAATAACAAGAAACTTATGGACTTATGTGCAAAATCTCATGCTAACTCTTCAAAACCAAGTACTCACTATACACATATGTATAGCAAAATCTACAAGTGTTCAATTTGTGGTCATAAAGGCCATCTATCTATATTTTGCTATGATGGACAAAAATCTAAAAATGTTAATATTAATGCTTCTTATGCATCCCATTTAGTTTCTTCATCATGTACACATGCACATTCACATGCTCATACTCATAAAGTTTAGTATAAGCATGCTAATGTGTTTAAATATGATTTTTGTGGTAGATTTTGTCATTTGGCAAAATTTTGTTTTGATTTGAAAAGAGTTTCTCATTTGTAAAACAATTTAAAAGAAAAACCTATTTTTGCAAATGATTCCTGTGCACGTCCACTTGGTCATCTCAAATAATTTACCCCTTTTTATTGCACCTATTGTAATCGGAATAGTCATTTGTATAATTTTTGTTTTGACCATGTTTATGCACATCATGCGTCCAAACGGGTTCATAACCCTAGGGCTTTCAGCTTTAATGATAGGGGTCATGTCCCTAAACCCTTTGGTTCCAAGAATACTTTGAAACCAAAACATGTTTGATTTGTTTAAACCAAGAATTTTAATGTTTTTATTTTTATTTTATTTGTCTTGGTTTTGAAAAATGTTTTGAAATTCTTGTAAATGAAAACAATTTTTTTGGTCAATTCTTTTGTTTTCATTTTATTAACTTTGATTTTGATGAGAGGTTTGTGTTTATATAACCCCCGGATTTATTGGGTGTTTATTTCCCAAATCATGTTTACCGTGTGCTAAAATGTTTATATAGGTTGAAACAAGCTTAAAAGCTTGATATATTTTACTCTCTTGCCTTTTTATGGATTTAAATTTTGGTTTATAATTTTATTTGAATGATTTGTTTTCATTTGGAAACTTTTTTCATGATTCACAAGTTTTTCGTTTAATTGTATTAATAAATCTATTTTCATACATGGTTTTTGGGCTTGTGTTGAGACACACTATTTTATAATGACATATCATCATGTGTTTTCATTGTATTTTTGGTATGTGAGTTTCGCCTAGCATAATTTCATATATGCTTGCTCACGTATATTTGCCTTGGGTCTTCATTGTATATATTCCATAAGATATTTTGGCCAAATTTTGTTTTGATTTGAAAATAGTTTCTCATTTGCAACACAATTTAAAAGAAAAACCTATTTTTGTAAATGATTCCTGTGCACGTCCACTTGGTCATTACAAATCATTTACCCCTTTTTATTGCACCTATTGTAATGAGAAAGGTCATTTGTATAATTTTTATTTTGCTTGTGTTTGTGTACCACATGCGCCCAAATAGGATCATAACTCTAGGGCTTTAAGCTTTAATGACAGGGGTCATGTCCCTAAACCATTTGGTACCAAAAATACTTGGGTACCAAAACATGTTTGGTTTGTTTAAACCAAGAATTTTAATGTTTTTATTTTTTTATCTTGGTTTTGAAAAATGTTTAGAAATTCTTAAAATTATTTTCAACTCTAAGCTAAGCATGCAAAAATTTCATTATTTTAAATAAAAATCCAAGTTAAGGATTAAGTAAAGTCTACTACTTTAAAAATCATTTCTTAAGAAAATTATTTAGAGTTATCATAAAAGGTGAGCTTAAGTAAATAACTAACTAGGGATTAGAAATTTTCAAATTTATCAAATAAATCAATTATTACATAACTCCATCAATTTGGCAAGTGATGATATTTTTATATATTTTTTTTAAGAAAAAGGAGGGAAAAAAATGTAACTAAAAATGAAAAATAAAGAGAAAAAAATAACTAATTCCCACCCCCACACCTAAATTTTGCATTGTCCTCAATGCAAACTCTATGATGCATAAAGTAAAGCAGATAAGAAGTGAAGCACTTACATTTGGTCGGCTGATAAAAATCTGCAATTACCTTTGGTCTGAGGAGGATGAAAAAAAAAATTTATTCTTCTGTTTTTTTTTCTTTTTTTTTCTTT